ATAAATAGTCATGTATATGCTCTTATAAGGTTTACATAATTGAAAACAGTTTGTTTACAGTATTATGCAACTATAAGACTGATAATAATGTATCAGTAATAACCTACTGCTTTTACATTTATTTACTCACTGGGGCCATTGACTGCTTCATTAATCTTACCAATAACCGTGCTTGACTATGCTGGTTCTTGGTGAGCAATATCAGGGTTAGGCATCAGTCAAGTGTTATGTAAGGAGAGAAAATCAGTCGACGATGCTGTGAAGTTACACCGATTGAGATGGTTAGGACATGTGTTACGTACGCATGTCTAACCATCGCCTTCCTCAACGAGCAATATTAGCTGACATAGGATCAGGTTGGAAAAGAGCCAGTGGTGGTCAAACCAAAACATGGCTTCATCAGTCAATGAAATCTACAACAGTTAGTTTAAGCCAGCCACGTAGGGAGGTGTGGACTACTGTCTGGTTGGGGTCTTTGGGATGGTAAAAACCATTTGTTGCAGACAATTGGTGACACGGCTCTAAATCTTTCTCAGTGATAGCGCAGATACATCCACTTCTTGTGATTCATAATATCCAATGGAATTCTATTGTTCTTCCACATTACTATTCCTTTTGCCCCATATTTCTGTTTATTATCTCTGTTTTGAACCTCTCTTTGCTCCCTTCTCTTGCTTTGTGTGCTACATGGAGTGTAACAACTCGAATTGCTGCACATCTGTGCAAAGTTGTACGTTGGAACCAGTCAGTCAATCTTAAAATATGCAGTTAGAAGTTTTCGAATTTCTAGCATTTCCTAAGAAAACTATTCATCTGCAGGCTTACAAACAATTTTTTGTTTAAATTAGCAATTGATAGCTTTATTATGGACAAAATGTTTGCACAGTGTAAAGAATTCTCAGAATACTATTGCATGATATTTTCCTCTTACCTGAAAAGTAAATTCTACCTAATCTTTTTTTCTGTCTCTTCATTAGTATTATTTTGTCTTCTTAATTGTAATATTTTGCATTTTCAACTCTCTTGTTCTCTACCCCCGCCCGATTTAATTTCTACACCTCACTATCATTGTTATTGACCTGACCAACGCTCAATTTCTAGTCTTTATGTTACGTCATCCAACTTAATTGCTCAATTTCAGTTCTAATTTAAATGGCATTATTATCTACCTCACTTCTACTTAGTCTCTACTTGTAAATGAATAATTTAAACGATATGAAATGGAGAAAATTTGATGCATTATGGGTGACTGGAAATTTAGGCGGCCGCGGTGATTCAAGTAGGCCGCAAAAACAAAAGTATAAATACATGCAGATTAGTTATTACAGCTAGAACACATATTAGAAAGGTATAAGTATACAGCTGTTACAACTAAATGGTTTTCTTTCATGGAGTACTTTTACTTGACCAAAACAGTGATGGAGTATTATTTATCTAGTGATGAAGGCACTCGTTATTCGAGAGCCAGTCTTTCTGATTTTGTTATGTTTGACCTTGATTTCTTTTTCTATTTCAGTGTTAATGCATATTGTACTTGGACCTTTTCAGCTATTGTCTTGCCTGTTGAGCACGGAATGACATCCTTGGGTTCCTGTTTATTGACTGTCACTTTGTAGTTTTATCCTTCCCCGAGTACTTTTATCTCACTAGAGCTTAGTTCTCTTGTTGATAGGTTGATCACCTACTTTGTTCTATCGACAATCTGTGATAATTCGATGTCGGTTTCGTCATTTTCTTCGTTCCTTTTTTCTTCATTCAGTTTGTTGGACATTTTTGCGTGTTTCTTGATTGTGTTCTTTCAAAAACAGTTTCTGTAGCGGATTTTTAGATGTTTCAACAAGGATTTTGTAGTCTTTAGTGTTTCCCGATTTCATTTGCATATATTGGTTGGTTTCCTAATGATTTTTTGAAGTGCTTCTTTTAGAAATAGTCTGCTAACATGTCCAACTGATGCTGCTATTTGCAATTAATAGTGTTCTCTGAGCTGGTATTATATATTGCTTTTTGTAATTGGAGTACTTAGTCCCAGGTATTTAGGAATTTTATAATTTTTCAAGCATAAAATTTTGAAAATATGATGATTTCTGAATAGCACTTTAATTTGAGAAAGCCGCATGAGTTTGTTGATAAGTTCCCTAATAGGAAGGTTGTACTTTTCACTGACATAAGAACAGAATTCGATCAAAAAACTTTGATGATAATAATATCAGCTTTATTCTGGAGATTATGTTTAAATACACTACAGAATTTTCCGATGTAATTTCTTGCAAAATGTTTACACCCTACATGCAATCATCAAGTTCAGTATTTATCAACAGTATTTTATATGACTCGGTGTTATTCTGTCTGAAGCAGTATTCAATCCTCTGCCATATTCTTCTTGATTCAATTCTTCAGAGTGAACAGTGGTAGGTTGGAGGCCTAATTGGTAGAATATGACTTCACTCTAGAATAATTTTTTTGATAAAATCGCTTAGTGATATTTTATTTTATTTTTTTATTTTTGATTACAGCTTGATTCCACACTGTATTTTTGGTACAAGTATGGAATTTTCAGCATAAATATCGGTAGCCCAAATTTTGCAGGCCGACCATAGATATCAGGTGTTCGTCGGTAGGGGATCGAACCCCAGACCATGTGCATTGTCGGCGAGAGTCCTAACCACTGTGCCACCGACGCACAGTATTATTCGTCCACTGATGGCTTTTTGAGCACAATTTACTGCTGCTCATGATTATATCATCAGAAAGTAATAATACTGTGTCACTGTGTAATTGAACCGATAAGAAGATTCTAGAAGATCTGGGTTTTGCAGATGGTTTATGTTTAATGTCACACAAACTCGAAGACCTGCAGGCGAAAACCTACAAGCTGACAGTAGCAGGTGGCAGCGACGACAGGACTTCATGTGAACATGGAGAAGACGGAGGTGATGATAACCAACCATCAGTAACATCAAAAAACAGCACTAATCACTATCAACGGGAGATATTTGACAGAGGTTACCTCCTTCACTTATCTAGGAAGCACGGTTTCAATCACAGGCCAGATGTCAACGCCAGAATCGGAGAGGCAAGGTACGCCTTCGTCAATCGGAGATTAGTTTGGAAATCTTCTTCAGTCCGTAGCATACAGACCAAAGTCGGATTTTCAACACAAAAGTGAAGTTTTCTGTATAGGTCAGATACTTGGTGCATCACAAGAAATATTTCCAACAAGTCATAGACTTTTATCGACAGCTGCCTTCTATGACTCCATACTGAAGATCAAATGGCTAGCTAGAAGGACTTAGCAAGAAGAAACTCTGGGAGGTGAAAAACCAACCAAGAACCGACTGCTCAAAAAATGTAGGAGAAAATGTAGATGGATCAGGCATACGTTGAAGAGGCTGTCGAATGACATCTCGCGCAACGCAGGCCAATGGTCGAGTGGGACCCGAATGGGAAGCGACAAATGGGTCGTCGGTGCGACGATGATAAAGAGGAGGTCCCACAAATGGGGGAAGGAGATGAGAGATTATGGGCGATTGTGGCGCTAGCCAGATGAAGAGGACAGCAGAAAATAGAAGGATGTTGAGATGTGTTGTTGAAATCCTATATTCCACTTGGAGCCCACGGGAAGAAGAATAATACTGTGTAATTTTTGTCGAATAAAATTATTCTTTGGTGGAGTTATACTGTATGATAGTGTTTAAATTCAATTATTATATTAGTTATTTTCTGCTTAAGTAACTTGTTTTTTTTCACAGCTGACTAGTTGACATATTATGGTAAAACTGTTTTAGACCACGGTTTTTTTGTGGAGATTTGAATTAATTTCAATTCAGATTTCGTCACAAACTAATATCGATTGAAGATAATTGAAAACCAAGGAGTACTGGATAGAGGTCTCGTCCTAGTTTGGGAGTCTTCGCTAGTGTTCACCTGCGGTCCAACCAGGCAACGGATCCAGGTCCTACAGGTTATGAGATCATGCTCGTTGATCATTCAGCCACTTGAGTCGGTTCAATGATCTATGAGTGGTATTGGTTAGTGAAGAGATCTACATTGAAAAACTGTTGTTTTTTCAAAAAGGTGTCTAACTTATATCTCTCCGCCATCCACTATATGATGTTCATGATAAAATATTTGTTAAGGTGAGAACTCTGTTACTAGGTTGACAGATTTTTCATGTACCATGTTTTGAGCCACACACATTATATAAGGGTTAAGTGATACTACCCATCTATTCAGCTAGGTTCAAGTAAATGCGACAGGGCATGGGTCATGGGCTCATTGTGTGATAAAAAAGTAATTAAATCAATGATCCACACCTCGACAAAAAGGGAAATTAGTCACAAATGTGAAAGAAGGAATCGAAATACTTTTATTCTAATCGAATACAAGTTTGAAGCTTGCACCCAGGAGACACCAAGAGTCTACCTGCACAGAATTTGAAGATAGCAGAAATCAACACTACGTTTTCCAATCAAGTCATACTGTTTGAATTTATATTGATATGACACAAATATATTCATGGTTGCGAAGATTCTACTTTTATTACTTTGCGTACCCCTTTTGACTTCCTTTTACGATTTTGAATGTCATTATTCTAAACCTTGTATTACTGCTTCACTTTCTGTGTAATTATGTTTTTTTAGTTTCTATTTTAAGTTTCAAACTGATTGTTTTTCTCATTCGTGTGCATTCTGAGTGAAACATAGTCCTTCGAGCTTGAAACCTTGACGTTTTAGTAGTTATGATATTGTTTTTAAAAGGCTGGGGTTGCTAGCCTCATCTAGCCGAACCTTCCTTCTTTTAGAATCTTACTAATGACTAGTAAACTGAATGATGAGTTATAAAAGTGCGTCGGCCAGACGATGGCTAGCGCTGTTGGTGAGTATTCTACCATTGACGTTACGGGTTGATTAACTCCTATTACGTCATTTTAATTTAATAGTATTAATGCTCATTTCGTAACGCAGTTTTTTTTCCTACCTTTCTCTTTAATTAATTTACAGCATTTAGCAACCCCATCTGAAATTGCTTTAAACTCTGGAATTATATCATCATCAACATTATTCCCTCGACTTAGTGTATTAGCTTTAAATTCTACTTTTATACCATGGGATTGGGTTCTTGATCTATTGAGTCGTTTACCAAAGTAAGTCTACTAATGACAATATCCTTTTTTCTTCTGTCTCTGGATAAGTAATATTGTGATTTGAGTTCAGATATTGTTCTTTTGAGAAGTTAGCACTGAATTTATGCATAAAGTCTGCCCTGGTAAATACTATCTTTTTTTCAGCTTTCTCATGCATATATATTCATCGACTGATTTGCTTTGTTTAATCGATTTTCAAATAATTCATTTGGGGATTCGGTTATGTTTAAGTATTGGTTTGAATTGATTCAGCTATCTAACCTTAGTTCAATCAGCAAGACCATTGATGAACGTGGTATCAAATTGGTGAGACGGCCACTTGATTTTTAGATTACCTCGATTGGGCTAGCAAGCATTAATGTTTGATGTGAGGAGCATCCAACTACTCATATCAATCAGTAGTATTATTACACAATACAAACATGCTTACTCTCTTGATTGACATTTATGATACCAAGCGGATCACATACTGTGGCCTGTGTATTTTGGGTTTCCATGAAAACGTGTGTTCTAGGAACCAACATGTCAATAAAAACAAATTATTGCGGAATTCAAATTTTGGATAGATATTATTTTCTATAGTTTGGTTTGTAAGGATTAGTTATGTTTTACGAGTTGATCACGGATGCTCGCTAGTGACTTGCTACAGGTTGGAGTTTCCTGAGTTCTAGTGAGAAGTCGTGACCAGTGAGGTCCAATTAGATGTCACGTGTGTGGATGGATGTCCCACCAACGACAATGGTTGGGGTCGCGCTAAATCACGAATTAGTAGAAGTTAGAATTCACGAGCCATTGAATCGGGTTCCAGTGGCTGAATGGTATACGAGCTAGCCTTGTAACCGGAAGGTCCTGGGTTCGAAACCCAGTGGGTGCGTACTGCCGATGATTCCCAAACTAGGATGAAACAGCAGCTGTCCAGTACTCCCTGGTTTTCAATGGTTCTCTAACTGATATCAATCCGTGATCAACTCGTAAAATAGATATTATTGAAAAATTTCAAACAAAATCAATTAGAGAATCACTGGAAAGAAACCAAGTAGTACTGAATTGCTCTTTCTTTCTAGTTTGGGACTCTTGACAGGTTAGTACCTATGAATCTATCAGGGGTTGAACAGAATACCTTCAGCACAAAACTGTAATTTATCGATATAGTGATATCAAATGTAAACCTTCACTATATATGTGTGAATTTTGAGTTCATTCCTTCGCTGTCCAAGTGAAATGCAGGATTTCAAGCCGTAAGCCTTAAAGTTCCGGTAGCTGGGGTTGCTAGCCTCACCTAGCCCAACATTCCCTCTTTTCTGGGCTTACAACCCACTAGACAGTGTTGGTTGGTTGGGAATCGACCCCGGACGACGTTTGGTGTGGTTGGCTAGCGTTCTTCCATAGAACCACCGAATCACACAGATGTGAACAACACTATGAAATATTACAAATAACATGATAGTTAGACATTTTCTTGTTGAACATTTTGTGAAATGAATTTAAAAGTCTTCCGTTTTTGTACTCTCCATCTTTGTAGCCTAACTGATTTACATGTGGCACGTAACAATTATGGAGCTGACGAGAATAATTCAAACGATTCTGGAAATTCATCTATTAATAATGATGATAATGAACCACTGCCTGTCTTTCCACATTTACAAAGTTTATATTACAGTGATAATGGTATATCGAATTGGTTGACTATTTGTCGCCTATGCAGACATTTTCCTGGCTTAGAACAACTTATCCTATTAGGCAATCCAATTGAATATATACCTGTTCCTGAGAAGGCAAATCAATCTATGAATGCTGTTACTACGGTTACTACACCTAGTGAAGAAATCTCTGAAGACAAACAAGAATTATCAACAAATAATAATAATCCCTATCATGATCAATGCCTGTTTGAAAATGTACATACATTAGGTTTATCAGAGACATTAATTAGTCAGTGGGAAAGTATTGATGCTCTAGATGAATGGATGCCTAATTTAAAGAATTTACGTTTAGGAAACACGCTACCAGTTTTTCAAGTAATGTAACCTTTTTTAATTCAGTTTTCTAAGCGTTTTTTTGGTGTTCATTATTATCAGTGTCAATTTCACTAAATACCAGCCGAAACTATTTGTTAGTGCATAATTGAAAGAAAGCCTAGTGAGTAGTAGTGGACAGCTGCTGAGTCTTAATTTGAGACTCTTCATCAATACATGCTAACAATCCCACATGGCGTTGAGTCCAAAACCTTTAGATTATGAGGCTAGTCTGTTGACTATTCCAACCCAGCGACTAATTTTCCTCTTAACCTGAAGTTCATGGGTGCCTGCTTCTGAAGCGTCCCAAATTACAACGAAATTGCTGTGCAGTGCAACTTTGTCGTCAATGATTCTCCTAATTGATGTGTTGGTTTGTGGTCATATTCGCACTGAATTTAATGTTTGATCTTTTTGTGTTTGTTTTATGTTATTGGGAAAAACAGTATTAGTATATTTTGGCTAAGATAGCTAGGATACGTGTTATGCATTATGAGCCATCTCCCTACTCATTAAGCAATGTTAGCTGACATAAGATTAGGTGGTTACAAAAGAGTTAGAGATGGACAGATTCAAACCTGGAATCAGTCTATGAAGTTTTAGGCTATTGGTTTGAATCAAGTAAGGAAGTATAGACTGCCTGATTGGGGTCTTTGGGATCCTAAGAACTGATGGCTGAAGATTTTTGGTGATGTGGCCAAAAATCGTTTTCAGTGGTGCAGATATATTCACTCCTATATCCATTAAACCCTCATGGTTTTCAAGTTACTATTCCTTCTCCCGTCTGTCTGTCTGTCTGTCTGTCTGTTTTCGACATAGAACTTTGCACAGATGTGCGGAAGTTCAAATCGCCAAACTCCCTTCATGTACCGCACAAAGGAAGACATGAGAGTAGAAGAAATGCATAATAGAGACAGTAAACAAAGGTGTGACACAAAGGAAGAGTAATAACGAAGAACAAAACAGTTTCATTGGAAATCATAAGTCACAAGGAGTGGATGCATCTGCGCCACTGAGAACGATTTGAGCCATGTCACCAATTGTTTCCAACCATTAGTTTTTACCGTCCTGAGGATCCCAACCAGCAAGTCTACACCTTCCTACGTGGCTTAGACTAACTGTTATAGATTTGATTGACTGGTGCCATGTTTTTGTTTGACCTCCGCTGGATTTTTTCCAGCCTGACCCTATATCCGCTAACATTGCTCGTCGAAGAAGGCGATGACTAGGCATACGTAACACATGTCCTAACCATCTTAGTCTTTGTAACTTCACAACTTCGTCGATTGATTTCCCCTGTTTACCTAGAACTCGACACCTAACTTCAATGTTGCTCACCTTATTATGCCACTTCACATGGGAGATAGAACGCAGGCACCTATGATCAAAGACAGCTAGTCTTTTCATACCTTCCACTCTCAGTGGCCAGGTCTCACAACCATAAAGGAGGACGGAGCGGACTGATGAGCAGTACACCCGCCCTTTGGTCGATAGTCGGATATCTCGTCTACGACAGAGACGGCGTAAACTGGCATTTGCGAAACGAGCCCCCTGTATTCATGCTGAGATTTCATCAGAGATCAGCCCGTTGGCAATGGCTGATGGTACTTCCCAAATAAGTGAAGCGGTCAACGTGCTCTACCACTTCACTTCCTATTTTTAAACTAGGCGTCGATGTAGTCCAGTCCTGTAACATCATCTTGCATTTGGCGGGAGCGAATCGCATGCCAAACAATTGTAGATTGCAGCTCAAGGTGTTCAGAAGACCGTATCTGCATTTTTTCAGCGTCCTCGCCTAGAAGGACTATATCGTCTGCATATTCTAAGTCGACGAGATTATTCCCTGGTAGCAAGTCAATCTCTGAGTCGCTGAAGTCACCTAGGGTTAAGTCCATTAACACATCTATGATGAAGTTGAATAGAAAAGGGGATAATGGGCATCCTTCTCCCGTATATTTCTTCGCATCATGGCCCCTTCAGATCTCTTTTCTCTGCCTTTGTGGTACAGTGAACTGGGTAACTTGAACTGGTTCGCTTCTGTGCAAAGTTCTGTGTTGAAACTCAGTCAGTGAGTTATGTAGATCAGGCAGTAAAACTTAAGAATTAAACATAGGAAAAATATTAATAACAAAAAGTGTTATTATTTTACGACCAACAGATATTTTATATAGAATGAAATTTTCGACATTCCGATTTGGTAACAAATTTACTCCCTTTTGTGAAGTCAAACTGAATGAACTAACCAAATAATTTTCAGTTTAACAGCTAACTAATTCACGAATAATCATGTAATATCTCGATTCATTGCTTCATACCATCAACTATGATATATTTTGTTTTGTATTTTCTGTCGCCTTCATTGTATTTTGAATGGAACATTGGGCTACAAGCTTTAAACCTTCACCAGTGGTAGTGTTATTGGTGGTTCAGTGGTAGAATTCCCTGACAACCATGAGGTGGTCTAGGTTCTGTTCCCATACGGTGAACACGTAAACCTTGTTGTCTAGTCTACTGGCCACTATTAAGACTTGGAAATGAATGGACTTTTGGCATGGTGTTAACAACAGTACGCTGATGTAAGGACAAATACTCACCGATGACAGTGGCTAGTGGTTGGATTATATATCGCAAATTAGCAGAAGTTAGAATTCATGAGCTGACCATTGAAATCGCTCCCAGTAGATGAATAGTCCATAGGCTTGAGTCATAACCTTAGGGTCCTAGATTCAGTTGATATTAGAGTTGTGACTGCGTATTGCTGAATAGTCCTAAACTATGGTGAGACAGCTATCCGGCACTCCATGGTTTTAAATAGTTCTCTAACTGTCATCAATCCGTAGTCAAACTTGACAGCGATTAAATCCCTACAAACCAACACTCAAAAACTCTACATTTTTCCAATCGATCATGGATTCGACCTAACTATACCTACTTCAACCTGGGTTACTGGATATTATCATCATCCCCCATACAATGAGTTTAACTCAAGACCTGGTAAGTGAAAAGCCTTAAGCACATTGTTGTTATTTGTTTACTTATTTAAACACAAACTTGTTACAGTATGAACACCAAGATATGTGGAAAGAATTAGACTGTTTGTGGGACTAGTATCACAAAAACAGGTAAGCATTACAGTTCTTAGCCATATCTGAAAACATCTCAAGCCACTGATTTGGATTATATCTAGGATGCAGTCCCCGGTATGAATAGTGACGAGTCAGCAGATACCAGACCAACACAACTACCTTTCATCTTACATTTGCCTCTTCCACCGATCCCCAGGGATTGCAATTAGTGAATGTGGTGTGGGAACCATGGGGATGAAATTAGTACGACCTAAATTTGTGTCCTAGGAGGAAATAACTTATTAAAAGGTGACCTCTACAGTGGGCAAACAAACACACCATCGGATTTCATAACTATTCACTCAGTGGCTCTGTCGGAAGGTGGTAATTCTGCGGAAACAGCGATGTTCAAACACCAAGAGTAATCGTGCTTCCTTCAGATTGAAATGACCGCGTTTCAAAAGCATAGAGTAAGACAACACTCACCAAGGCATAGTAAACTCAAACTTTGACGGGAAAACTAAAGGTGCCAAAGTTAATTAAGGTTACTGACTCCTAAATAACTGTCTAACTAACAAATAAATGCTGAAAAACTTATTCCTTGAAGAATTAGTCTGTAGCAATTTGATTTGTTTCAAGTTTGACCACGAGTTAATATTGATTTATTAAAACTAACTTGGTAAATTATGGGCACCAACAGACGCGCTATATAAAATCTTATAGTTTGTGCCAGGGCTACAATACTGCCTGGATTCCCAGACCTAAGCAACTGGTTGTCTTAAGGGCCTAGCCCCCTCCGGAACCTTTAACTTAAGTTCTGATTCACAAAGCAATGGGGGAGCGTCAGGAGTTACGTTCCCATGAATTCTGGTGACCATAACTAATTCCATACATCATTCATTTCTTTCGGATTGTGCAGTCTATATATCTTTTATTCATCATAATAAAGGTTTTTGTATTTCCCAATGAACGAAAAACAAAACGATATGGTTTTAACTGTTGTTTCACTATTTAATGCTAAATAGCTTTATCAAAGTATTATTAAACCGGGATTTGCAAAATCTCAGCATATATATAACAAAGAGTTAAGATCTGTTAATTCCGGCTTAATAATACTTTGATAAAGCTATTAGCATTGAATAGCGAAACGTCAGTAAAAACAATATCGTTCATTGATTTTCATTCATTGGGAAATACGAAAACCTTTATTATAGTGAATATTATATACCCAATGCTCAATTTTTCCCAAACTGTTAAAAGTTAACTTGCTTTGGATATATATATATATCCCGTTGGCAGATCTCAGTGTTAAACAGTCCGGTTTTAGGCGCCAGACGTTCGCATTCGTGATTTAACTTCCTTGAGGTACCCTCCGCCGCATGAAGGCAGTGAACAGAACTTTTCTGGTAGATGTTGTGAATGCGTTGGCACAAGATGACATTTTGAGACTAAAACTGAAGTCTACTCACCTTCGGCCATACCAGGTAGTTCAAATTGCAATGAGTGCATTACCAAACTTGCTTATTGTGTTAATCATTTACTTGCCTAATAATGTATTGTCAAAGAATATCTAACAGTCTAAAAAATTTTCTCTTTTTTCTCATCTTCAAATCTCATATGAATAAATGTATTATCTTTCGCGAACTTTTATTCTGGTTTAAACTCGACTTTACCAATAATATTCAAGAGTTAATTTGTAAGGATTTGAATTTTTTCAAGTTTGACTACAGATTGGCACGGGTTAAAGAAACACTAAAAACAAGTAGGGAGTACTGGACAGCTGTTTTGTCCTATTTTGGGAATCATTGGTAGTAGGCATCCACTGGGTTTCGAACCCAGGACCTTTCACTTACAAGGCGAAGTCGTACAGTATTCAGCCACTGGCCCATGAATTCTAACTTCTAGCAATTCCTGATTTTAGCGCGACCAGTGTCATCGGCGAGGATTTGTCCTCACTTTCGACAGAATGGACTCCACAGGTCACGATTTCTCACTAGAACTCCAGGAAAATCCACCCTATAGTCACTGACTAGCGACCATTAGATTAATTTTCAAGAGTTAATATGTAGGAATTTGATTTACTAATAGTAGCTGCGGTGGTAGTTGTAGCAATATTAGTACTATTATTACTTTTAACAATATTTCCCTACTTTTTCTTTGTATCCAGGATGCATTGTTTTGCATAAACATATATATATATATGTTGTATGTTGCTATGCCAGCTAGTGTGAAGTTTATTACACGTTTAAGGTCATCCTGATCAACATCTAGAAATGGGAAGATAAAAACTGAGGACATTTTGCCTTTCTTTTCCTATTCATCCTTTATTTCGCGCTCCTATACGATTGTTATTGTACTATTGTTAGATCTGTCGTACTTAATTTAAACATCTTGTTTTTTTTGCAAAAAAATTCTAATGAAGTATCGTATTATATAGAAGAAATTTGATCTGTTTCAAAATGTACTTTGAGTAGTTGTTTGTATACAAATGTGGTTAAATGAGTAGAAGTTTGGTAAATACTACTGTTTCATATGAACAGTTGTTTGTAATCTACTCACACTATTCAGTAGTACTCGATTGCTGTCTAGATAGAACTGAATCAAACAGACAGTAATCGCTCATTTAGAGCAGTTCTATGCAATCTGCTGCTGTCAAATATAAGACGATGCTGCAAGACTGATCTGAATCGACTTTTAGTTTACAGATAATGAGTGGAGTGGTTGAGCATATTGACTAATTCACTTATTTGGGAATTTTTATCAGTCCTCATGAAGTAGTTGCTGATTAAATCCTAGCACATATACAAAAGACTCATTGAGATTTGCCAACTTAAGTTATCTCTGGTGTAGACATAAGATCCAGCTTTTGATCAAAGAACATGTTTCCTGTACAGCAGTTTTCTCTGTCCTTCTTGATAATTGTGAATGTGGCCATTGAAAGTGGAGGACTTAAAGAGGCTAACTGTTTTTGACCACAAATGTTTGCGTTTTATCTCCCGCGTTAAATGATATTATATGATGAACAATATTTAGGTTAGGCTTAGAATCTTAGTTAAAGAGGAGAATTCAATCGACAACGTTGTGAAATGATATTGATGAAGATGGCTGGGACACGTCTTACCCATGCTAAGCCACTGCATTCATCGTCGATCAGTGTTAACTGACATAGCTGGTTCCAAAGACTTGAAGAAGCTAGAAAACAGATCGGTCATTGCACTGCAGTCGATAGAATCGGAACACAAGATCAACTCTGATAGGACTAAGGTTCCACAGAAAGGTTTTAGTTCGTATAAAGGAAGACTAACTGGAGAAGCCCTACCATATATGGGTGAATCTCAAAAGTTTGAACAGATGTGAAGGTGTAATGTTAGCTGATACATGGCAGGTCATGATTAATAAATAAAAATGGGCATGTATCACTAATCTGTCATACTTGAACTAAATTCCTTATTGTGTATATCTTCTTATGGAGAGGCTAACAAATAATTTACAATTGTTTCCCCAAACACACATCCACCATTGTATACCACATATGCACATATGTTTTTCATATTAATGAACTTTAGTCTAACTTAATCACTAAAATTCTGATGAAAAAGTACTTTCATTATAATAAAGGTTTTTGCATTTCCCAATCAGTGAAAAACAAAACAATATTGTTTTCACTGACGTTCCGCAATTTAATGCTAGTAGTTTTATCAAAGTATTATTAAACTGGAATTTACAAATCTCAGCATATATATAACAAAGAGTTAAGATCTGTTAATTCTGGCTTAATAATACTTTGATAAAGCTATTAGCATTGAATAGCGAAACGTCAGTAAAAACAATATCGTTCATTGATTTTCATTCATTGGGAAATACAAAAACCTTTATTATAATGAATATCATATACCCAATGCCCAAATTTTTTCAAACTTAAAAGTGAACTTGGTTTGAACATATATAATGAAAAAGTACTCTGTTTACAGTGCTTAACAAGAGTAGACCAATATTTGTAAGTCTGAGGTCAAATTTTGATCACAGTTCGTGCAATTTTGTTTATTATATTGTAACAGCAGAAGACAAGGTATATTTTCATTGATTAAATCACTGTTTATTATATATATACAGCCAATCACCGAGCTCATGACTTCCGTTTACATTTGACAACGTGAAGTAGAATGTTCAAATACATATGGCATTCTGCTTCTAATGCAGTATTGAACTGTGGGGATATATGAGAAACAAGAAATGTCCTTTTTATATATAAACTTCTGTTATTTTAACTTCGATTAATTTCCCTGATAAAGTTCGGACCAGTTTGCCGAATGCAGGAAGTGTTGGAATTATCCATATCAATTTTGCTGAAATTTTACAATTATAATTTTTACATATGACATAAGACTAGATTGGAAAAGAGCTAGGGATGGTCTAATAAAAACATAGCAATCAATCCACGAAGTCCTTGGCTTCTGATATGAGCCAAATACATGGGGAGGTGTAGACTGTTTGGGGTTCTTAGGATGCAAAAAGAACGAATGGCTGGAGACTGTTGTTGATTTGGCTTCAAATCGTTCCCCACAACAGAGATGCATTCATTCCTTGTGATCTTCTAGATCCATTGAAGCCTCATTATTCTCTGTGTAATTAATCTTTCTTCGGCAAATTTTTATTCTTCTGAATCTTTCCTTTTCTTGTACTTTTATCTACTACATGGGGTGTATCGTAACTTCAACTAGTGCACTTCTGTGCAAAGTTTTACATTTCAAGTCATTTATTCAATTTGTCCAGTGCAAATTATTTAAAATATCAGAAAAACATTTTGAACAGAAGTTTTATTTTCTTCTGTGGCTTATCTAGTCACCTTTATTATTATTTATTTATTTGCTCTTGTTTCTCTTTTTCAATCTATCAATTAGTCTTGGATGGAACCTGATTGTCGTGCACATGTTATCGCACGCTTACCAAAACTTACAACCTATAATCGAAGTGTAATTGACTCAGAAGAACGTGAAAGTGCTGAACGTGAATTTGTAAGATATTATGGACAAATTGATCCAGATCAACGTCCTAATCGGTTAGTTGGTAAACTCTTGTTATTTTCTATTTTACGCATACATAGTATTATCGTTTATTTATTTATTATTCCCTTGGGTTTCCAGTGGTACATAGAGGGGTTCATTAGCACATCTCCATTTCATTCTGTTCCCTGCATTTTTTTTAGCCGACTGTATAAAATTACTCATAAGCCTACGTTCTCTCCTTACACTATCTCCTCCATGTGACTCACCGCCGTACACTTCCATTAGGATTCTACTCGATGACCTGCCTGCTGCATGGTATCACTCAACATTCTCCTCAGTGCATCTCCGTTTCCTTCTGTATTTTTGTTGGGTAATAGGCTCTTCACCACCACCTACGAGAATTCCTTGTTGCTTATCTTTTTGACTGACCATCTTTTCATCAGGACAGAGTAGAAATGTAATCAAAAAGAATTAGGGATTTATGGATCGTTTTTTGTTGAATTTAATTCCAACAGCATAGACTGATGAGAAACCAAAACTTCTATGTTCTTCATCCATCTATCAATAATTGAAAATCTAGTTATTCTACAGCAAACACTTGTATTGTATAGGAAGACATTTATATAAGCGAACTATGTGGTTTGTTTGTTTAAATTGTTGTTGTTTTTACGGGGTACAGTTGTTAGTCGCATACACAACCTCCCTTCTTTTCCGCTTTTACTACCGAGTAATAAAACACATGATGTTTAGAAGTACATCGGTAGAGAGTCGAATCCAGACCTGCGGCGTAATTATAATTTTCAAATGTTATTTTGTAGGTTGGTTCGTGTCAAAAGTCTTCCGTGAAATCACTTATACCCCTACAAACTCAACACTTGAAAACGAATCCACTGCTGAATACACTTCCTGAAGTTGTAATGAGAAGCCATAATTCGTAAGATCTACCGAGTAGGGTTTGAAGACTAATAATCCCCAATGACATTGGCTGGTGGCAGTCTAGCTATGTATCAGGAGTTAACAGAAGTTACAATTCATAAACTATTGGGTTTCGACCCAGTGACTGCATGATGATGTGATTGTAACCCGAAGGTGGACCCAGGTGGTAAGTGTCTACATTGAGCATATAATGACTAAAAACCAAATATTTAATTCTGAATACAGGAAACCAATTGGTACGTTCTTGCAAGCCTCCGCGAATAATGCACAGTCAAAATTTATATTCTAACAATATCAAAACATGGTTTTATTATTATATCCTTTAATTCCTAGAGGAACATAGGGCTTCACCTGCGCGTCTCCATTGCCTTCTGTTTTCTGCCAACTTTTTCACTCCGCTCCAAGTCTGCCCACATGCTTTCATCTCCTCCTCACATGACCTCCTTCAAGTCAACCTCGCACTGATCACCAACTCGCCGCTTCCCTTTCGGGTTCCACTCGAGCAACGGATTGTCTAGTGATGCCACTTGATGGTTTCCTCAGAGTATGGCCAGCCAATCCATCTCCATTTCTTCCTGCCTATTTGTTTCACAATCGGTTCCTGGTTGGTTTGCTCATTGCCAGAGATCCCTGTTGGTGATCTTTTCTGGCCATCTGATCTTGAGTATTGAGCGAACACAACTGTTAATGAAGGCCTGAAGTTTGTTGGAGATGCTCTTTATGACGCACCAAGTCTCTAATCCGTATAGAAGCACTGACTTTACATTGGAGTTGAAAATCCGGATCTTATTTTTGATCCTGAGTGATGTTGACCTCCACACAGACTTAAGGGTAATGAAAGCCTGTCTTGCTTTCCCAATCCTCGCTCTGATATCCTCATTAGTTCCGCCTGTAGTTGAAACGATGCTTCCCAAATGGGTAGGTGAAGGAGGTTGTTTCGTTCAGGTTCCTCTCATTTATGCTGATTGTTGTCTGTTGTTGCTGTTGATGTTGGTTAGGAATCTTCATCACCTCTGTTTTATCTATGTTCACTTGAAGTCCTATCTTTGATGCTTCTTCTGCCAACTTGTTGCTTTTCACTTGCATATCTTCCAGTTTGTGGGTAATCAGACATATATCATCGGCGAAGTCCAGATCCTCCAAGTTTTTTTGTGTGAGTCCATTTTATGCCTGTTTCCTCATTGCCCGTTGTCTGTCGCATTATCCAGTCTACTGCACTCAGGAAGATCATTGGCGATAATAGACAGCCTTGCCTCACTCACGTCCTCACTTCGAAGGCTTCTGTAAGTTTCCCGTTGTGGATTACTTGGCGTGCAGCACTGTCGTATAACTGTTGGATGAGATGTATAATTGTCGATGGGACCCCGTAGTAACGAAGTAGTTGCCAAACACGGTTTTATCTGACACGATCTGTAGTACTGTTTAACAATGATAACTTACATCAAAAATACAGGACTATGTCAACAGTACTGTCCGGTAGTTATACATTACAAAGGTTCCTCAGTTATAAAATACGTAGCGAGAATCAATAAGATTATTCTCAACTACATGAGATCAAAACTCTGTCTTCAGGAATCAAACAGAACAAAACGCATTTCCCGCAAACATTTGAAGGTCAAGCCGTCAATCCATGGCGTGTCCTTAAATTTGGTCAAACAAAATTGCAGTGGAAAAACAACACATTGGATGGCTGAAGGTAATCAGCAAGAAGCTTTGGACCTTGGTTTTGTGCTAGCTTGCACTCATCAGAAAGGTGTATATGTAACGTTGAAGGAACTCATCTCCCTTCTGGGATTCGAACTACTATCCAAAACAGTCCTACAGGAGGTCGATGGCGAACCCGAATAGCTCAGTCAGTGGTAACGTCTCTAACTGCATCACTACGTAGCGCGGGTTCGAATCCTAAAAGGGACATGAATTTCTCCAAGGTAACAGATACACCTTTCTGACTGGTGAGTGCTAACCACCTTGAAACCTAGGTTCAATACTTCCTGCCGATTGCCTCCAATCATTCAGCAATTCAAAGTATATTGTGATGGTGAGCCACCCAGTGGCATACCTGGCCACACTGCAAACTTGACTGACAGAATTCATTTTGCACCAAACAAAGGATTAGACACATTACACTAGTCAACTGACTAGTGTTCAATCAAAAGAACACATTATTGTCAACACCATCACACAACAAAGTAAATCATTAAAAATAAGGATCAAATAAAAACTAAGACAAACGATAAGGATTAAGTCAAAAGAAGACATGTGAATGTTAGAAAAACGATATGCATTTCAGCAGGCGAAAAGGATAATAAATAATTATCAAATTATTTGGCATATCTACCATTCAAGGGCGACCAGATTATGCAGTTGACAACTCAAAGACTTCGATCAGCCATCAAACGCATATTCTACGCCGCATCTCTTTTTCTCACTTGCCGAACATTTTCGATCCCTGTTCCTACGAATAAAGGACGAAATTCTGTGGACTCTACTTCAAACTGTATCTACAAGTTCACCTGCAGCTGCGGTGACACCTATATAGGTAGAACTAACAGAATGTTCCAATGTCGTCGAAAAGAACATGTTCCAAAATGGCTAGTAAATCATATCGAAAATCCTAACGCGATTAATCTTAGTAGAAATCCAGCATCATCCATTGCAAAACACTTATTAATGTCTGGTCACAAAATCAATATTAATGACTGTTTCACAATTATTTCACACAACTCTAATTCAAGGTTATTGAAGGTGATGGAAGCACTTTGGATTAATCACATACAGCCTAAACTGTGTACAAAAATCAATAGACTTCAATCTTCGCCTACCCTGGACTGCATGACCTATCTTAATATGATTGGTCATTATTATGTAGTTTTGTTTTTATTTAACTGAGTAATTTTCATGAACTTTATTTTATCATTGTTAACCATGTTGGTTGTAAAGCGGTTGTAAAGAAACTACGAAATGATATCATCTCGCGAAATTTGTCTTCTTAATGCCCTGTTTAAATTTATCAAAGGGACTAATTGTTTTAATATTCGAATAAGTATCAATATTGCTAATAGATTGTTCATGGAGGGTTTTTTAGATTAGTCATTTTGCTGTAGAGTAGTTTCAGAGTACAAGATGTGATAACTCCTTCAGTATTTTTTCATCTCTAATAGTCCTTTCTAATTGACTTAGTTTTTTGACAAGGTCCACCATGACTTGATCTTAACACATTTCAAAGTAAAATATTTTCTTTTCAGTTTTTTTCAAGTCACTACTACCACTACTAGTGACCATCTATCAAATGTTGATCCTCAGACATCACTGAAGCCTCTATACTAGAAGCCGACATCTCAACAAAGACCGAACATTCCTACTCAACATGATCAAACAACGGTAAATGCAAATTATCAAGAATTACTTTGTAGGGATTCTATTTGTTTCAGGTTAGACCACGGATTTACGCCAGTTAGAGAGAGAACCAGTGAAAACCAGCACTGGAGTACTCCATAGCCAGCTATTTTGTCCTAATTGGGGACTCATTGGCAGTACTCACCCACTGGCTTTCCAACCCAAGACCTTCCGGTTGCAAGACAAGTTCGTATGCCATCCAGCCACTGAGTCTCATACTAGGACGAAACAGCTGTCCAGTAATCTCTGGTTTTCAGTGATTGTCTAACTAATATCAATCCATGATCGAAATTTGAAAGAAATTAAATCCCTATAAACATACTCTTGAAAATTAATCTGATGCTCGCTAGTGATTGGCTACAGGATGAAGTTACCTGGAGTTCTAGTGAGAAGTCGTTACCAGTGGGGTTCATCCAGTCAGGAGTGAGGATGAAGTTTTTTTATTATAGCTTGATTCCACACCGTATTTTCGGTACAGGTGTGGAATTTTCAGCATGTGATATCGTTAGTCCAATTTTGCAGGCCGACCATTACTATCGGGTGTGCGTTGGCAGGGGATTGAACCGCAGACCATGTGCATGATCGGCGGGAGTCCTAACTGCTGTACCACCGCCGATGACATTGGTTAATGGTCGCGCTAAAATCACGAAATGGTAGAAGTTAGAATTCATGGGCTGGCCATTGACTCGGCTCCTAGTAGCTGAATTGTCTACGAGCTTGCCTTGTAACCAAAAGGTCCTGGGTTCAAAACGTATGGGTGCGTACTGTCGATCAGTCTAGAGAGACTAGGGCGAAACAGTTGGCTAGCTGTCCAGTAGTCCCCGCTGGTTTTCACTGGTTCTATCTCTCTAACTGGTATCAATCTGTGATCTAACCTGAAATGCAAATTAGCCTAAAAACAAACATTAACTTATTTCCAGTGCACATGAAGTAGCTGTTGTGTCCCAAGTAGTCTAGAGGATAATCCCTGTGTGTCTGAAATGAAAGAGTGCTGGGTTTGAGTCTCAGTTCAAACACTATCATTATTCACTGGAGATTGTAGATACATCCAGTTGACGAGATGTGCATCGTGGATTCCACTACAAGTCACCATCCGCCAACTGACTCTTTATCTTCATTGCGTAATTATTTTATTAACGAATTATTTTGACAAAGAAGGTTTTTAAAGATTAAAACCATTGCCTTTCTCTTTGAACAAATAATTGTGAACAAATATTTTATTTTTATATTATAGTTACTGGGATTTAGAACGTCAGCATGGTCGACTTGAACCATTGGCTAATATTGATTTATCTCCGAAACAATATATACGTGTGCGTGTTTCTATGTGTGGAAAAGAAGTAAGCCAACTAATCAGCCAGTCATTACTTACTTTGTCTATTTGGTTTTCATTTTTTTCATCATTTCTGTTTGTTTAATGTCGTGGTGTACGGTGTTAGCATAGTACTCATCCATTATTTTCAAGGCTGTATTTCTGATTGGTTGATTCAGATAATCATAAGACAAATGATATAATATTGCATATTGATATCAGACTACAGTTACTCTACAATCGCGTTACAACTAGTGTGGTTGACAATAATAAAAAAATCTTTGATAATTCTCATCAGCTATATATATATATTATCACATATTGTGGTGATCTGAATACTTTTGGTTCTTAAGGGAGAAACTGCGGTAAAATTTCACTTCGAAATGTGAAAATAGAGAATTTCATTTGAAATTTGTTGTTTAACGTGAAATAATTAAGAAACAGTTATTAATAATACGTTGATTTTGCCACGTGTTTCGCGATGAATGATACTAGACTTCGATACAGATTTCGATTTTTTCTGTATGAAACATTTTGCTTCCAACGACACCGAAATTTTTTTTTTTTGATTTACAGCTTGATTCCACACCGTATTTTTGGTACAAGTATGGAATATTCAGCATGGATATCGGTAGCCCAAATTTCGAAGGCCGACCATAGATATCAGATGTGCGTCGGCAGGGGATCCAACCTCGGACCATGTGCATGGTCGGTGAAAGTCCTAACCACTGTGCCACCGACGCACAGATAACTTAGTGTTCATTCCTAATTACAAGATTCCTGCTAGCCACGGGATGTGGGGACTTACAGCTTCCGTGACCTTAATTCAGAATAATACACATATCCCATTGCTTCGACCTGTGTGTGTGTGCCGCCACAACAGTAGGTAAACTTGAAGTTATTTCTGTTTGGTGGTGACTAGTGGTGAATAGAATATGCATTTCAGCCTATTTGTGTTTCGTCAGCTGACTGTTTCTGCGCTCCCGGTGGTTAGTGGTGTTTCCACTGGGACTCGAGTCCTGAACACATCGTTTCAAACGCCAAAGCACTATCCATAAGACCCTGCCTCTTGTGCAATGGATGACCAGTTATAATTCGTTTTATTAAGTTACTTTGCATTTTCAAGTATTGGTTTGTAGGGGTTTTTCATTGGTTTGAGAATTTCATCTTGAGCTGACATCGGTTAGAGAACCATCGGAAAACCAACTGGGAGTACTGGACAACTTTTTCTTCCTAGTTTGAGACTCTTCACCAGCAGAAGGTTTTGGGTTCGAACTGTGCCGGTGGGTGTGTACTGCTGAAGATTCCTAAACTAGGCTGATGAAACAGCTGTCCAGTACTCCCAGGTTTTCCAGTGGCTCTTTAACTGATGTCAGCTCATGATGAAATCCTCCTACTCTGCATTTTCTTGGACATAATGGAAGCGTCCCGTACTATGAGCTGGCATGTCAACACGGACCAAGCATTTCGGTCCACCATAATCAAACAACAGAAAATCCAAATTAACCTACAAACATATCTCTAAACTTTTTATATATCAGATGGGATAGAATTCATAGAATTCCGTCCTTTAATATTCGTCACAGTGAGTGAAAAATGTCAAGAGAGACCTAAACAGAAGCGATACAGGATGAGGTCTACATTCGATATCAGGCCCTAAACACTTTTAAACTGTGAAATGCATATGAGGAGGAAGATTACAAAGAGTGAATCCATCTGTGTTATCTATTGGGAATGATTTTGAGTCATATCACCAACAGTCTGCAGGCGTTGATTCTTGAAATCTTGAATGATGACCCCTACCAGGCGGCAGTCTACACTTCCCTACATGGTTGGCTCAAACCAATTGTCAAAGACTTCATGGACTAATTATAACAATTTTTGACTACCTTAATCCTTTTCCCAACCTAGTCCAATGTCAGCTATAACACCGCTCGTTGTGGAAGGGGATGGCGTTTTTTTATTATTGCCAACGATGCTAGTTGTGTAACAACAGAAGACAATGGCCAGGCAACAGATCGTTTATTAAGGAAATCAACAGATATTTATAGATTTTCATGTACATATTATAGATTATTGTTAGCAGAAAAACACAGTCTTCTGACTGGTTGTTTCTCACAGAAAGTTAACCTTGCATCTCTTTGTGGCTGTTTCTTGAATGTCACATCATCCATATGTTAACTGTATCCGCCTACGCAAAGCCTTTGTTCTCATTTTTCTCACGACCAATATTGGGGACATAAACATTGACGTAAATTATTATTATTATTATTGTATCCTTTAGTTCCTAGAGGAACATAGGGCTTCAGCTGCGCACCTCCATTGCCTTCGGTTTCCTGACAACTTTTTCACCCTGCTCCAGGTCTGTCCACATGCTTTCATCTCCTCCTCGCATGACCTCCTCCAAGTCACCCTTGGACGACCAACTCGCCGCCTCCCTTTCGGGTTCCACTCGAGGGCTTGTCTAGTGATGTCACTTGATGGTTTCCTCAGCGTATGGCCAATCCATCTCCATTTCTTTCTGCCTATTTGTTTCACAATCGGTTCCTGATTGGTTCGCTCCCAGAGATCCCTGTTGCTTGACGTAAATTACTGACCACCAATTTCGACTAACAGCCAGTTGTAACGGGGATGGTGGAGAAACTATCATATCATCTCATCATAATATTTATCATAGCTGCATGTTTAATAGTGGATTCTATGAACTTATCCTATGCCCTATGTAGTAGTTGAGTTATCACTTATTCACTTTACTTACCACTCTAAATTGCTTATCGTATTGAAGACAAAATATTTCTATAGTTTGGTTTGTAAGGATTAGTTATGTTTTACGAGTTGATCACGGATTGATATCAGTTAGAGAACCATTGAAAACCAGGGAGTACTGGACAGCTGCTGTTTCATCCTAGTTTGGGAATCATCTCCAGTACGCACCCACTGGGATTCGAAGCCAGGACCTTCCGGTTACAAGGCAAGCTCGTATACCATTCAGCCACTGGAACCCGATTCAATGGCTCATGAATTATAACTTCTACCAATTCTTGATTTAGCGCGACCCCAACCATTGTCGTTGGTGGGACATCCATCCACACACGTGACATCTAATTGAACCTCACTGGTCACGACTTCTCACTAGAACTCAGGAAACTCCAACATGTAGCAAGTCACTAGCGAGCGTCGGATTAACTTTCTATAGTTTGGTTTGTAAGGATTAGTTATGTTTTACGAGTTGATCACGGATTGATATCAGTTAGAGAAGCATTGAAAACCAGGGAGTACTGGACAGCTGCTGTTTCATCCTAGTTTGGGAATCATCGGCAGTACGGGTCCCAGTGGCTGAATGGTATACGAGCTTGCCTTGTAACCGGAAGGTCCTGGCTTCGAATCCCAGTGGGTGCGTGCTGCCGATGATTCCCAAACTAGGATGAAACAGCAGCTGTCCAGTACTCCCTGGTTTTCAATGGTTCTCTAACTGATATCAATCCGTGATCAACTCGTAAGACAAAATATTAAAAATAATTTCAGAGGCCTCATTTAAGTGTTATGAAAATTCTTCTGACAATTTTCTGTGTAATTTCGAGTGGCGTAGTAGTAAAGGCTCTGGTATTTGAAGCTACGGGACACCATCGCTCTGATAGAAGCAGGCTCATCCAGTCGATAAATTTGAAATAGGATGAAGCGCGCCTCGCGAATTCTACTATTCGCCACTATCAAACACGTTTAAAGTGGTTTATAAGATTGTCTCTCACACCGCATCAAAATGCATCTCCTCATTAGTTTACACTTAGAGACAAGTCATACTAATAGATTCTATAGGAAAAAAAGCAATCGATCTTAATATCAGAATGTTTTTAGATAATTCCCTCTACGAGGCTCAATGAGTGAAGCGAACGTGAACGTGGAAGTTACTTTACACCAACGGGTACTGCTATCCAGCCACTACCAAGATGGCTATCATAATGCTGGAAAAGGCGGTCTCACTTATTTCTAATTGGGCCTCTTAGCAGTTTACTCCTTGCTGATTCAAATTGTTGCTCAAGCTCATTAGTGATGCTTAGAATCAAAGTAGGCGTTGTTGACTCCTAAATTTATGAATAGAAACATTTAGTACATCTTCAGTAGTCGGGTTTACTTCTAAACAAATGAAATAGCCATGCATTCCCGCCAATATGGTAGGCGGTTACTACTGATTGTTGTTTGTTTTTTATCATAAGTAATCTACAGATCTCCAGCGCTTTTCATCCCTTGATATTTAAATGATATCTGAAAACTTTGTGAAACTTCCTTTCATGATTTTGGAAATTTTGTAAGAAGTTGCAACTAGTACGGAGTCCGCCAAATTGGATATGAAGGGCAAAACACTCGCTAATGACATTGGCTGGCGATTGTGTTACACATCAGAAACAGGTAGGAGTTAGAGTTCGTGGATAATTGGATCATGTTCCACCAGCTGTATTTTCAACGGGTTAACCTCATAACCGGCTGGTATAGAGTTCGATCCCTGGTGAGTGAGATAATGATAATGATGGGTGTGTACTACTGAATATTTTCAAGAAACTAGCACGGAACGGTTGTCCAGTACTCCATGGTTTTCAGTGGTTCTTCAACTCGTGTAACACTTCGTGATCAAAACTGAGAGCTTATTACATGACTTATATTTCAATTGTTAAGTAACAGTCTATACTAAATGCAGTGGTGCTCCGATCATAGTAGCCAAGATTTATGTCTCAAAACGTAAAAACTGTAGTAAACCTCTATTCGAATGTTCCAGAATTCTTATGTCCTACTAAGCATCAACCCTGTGCAATATTCTCACCGCTTGTCCTCGCGAACTATGTAAAACATTTTACTCAAAAATTCTTATCTAGGTTTTTAAGTTTGATAGCTTTTTTCTTTTCAGAAGTAATCACGAACAGACACATCAGTTAGAGAACCAGTAAAACCGAACAAGGAAGTACTGAGCAACTGTTTCGTACTTGTTTGAGACTTTTCATCTAGTATGCACTCATGAAACTACCAGAGATCAGGTCTCAGTGTCTTCAGTTCACAAAGGTGAGCACGTAGACCATTCAACCATTGGAATGGAATCCAATGTCCTACCGCATGAATTCTACCTTCTGCTAATTCCTTTCATTTAGCCTGCTTTAGTAAAAAAAACCTCACCTGGCTAAAATCTGCTTTCCTCCTCTCTCTCTCTCTCCTTTTTTTTCTCCATTTCCTTTAAAATTTTATACGCCAATGTGTTGTCCTTAAACGAACTTAACAAAGCAGCATTGCACACCCTACTGCTATTCTACGTAGGTATTCATATATTCAATACGAAATCAACTTCACGTTATTCCATTTATATAACTAACCTACTTTTCTGTCTTTTTTTCTTCAATTTGATTTGCTATTTTATATCCTCAAGGTCAATTGGTCTATGATTATCGATAGATGGATAGATAGCCACTAAGTAACTTACTAGCTAACCAAACTATTTCTTTCATCAAATCAGATGACATCGATTAGGAAAATACGTTCATTGTCTACTTACTCAAAAATAGTAATCATAATAATGTTTGTTTTTTGCTCCTTTCGCTATTATTTTAAATACAAAAGCACCCTGGATTTATATAAAAATCGAAGTTCAAATACTTGATGCATATTTATACTTTTATTCATTTGTGTTCCGAAAAGAACATAGAGCTTCAAGCTAGAAATTTGCAGTTTCATTTATCGTGGTGGTTTTTTACCTAGTCCAACCTTCACACTTTATCTGGCTTACTCCCGGTTAAGTGAGGTTTAAAAGTGCGTCGGCTGGGATTTATAAGTAGACTGTCATTATTATTACCCTGAATTCCTAGAGGAACATAAGGCTTCAACAGCGCATTCCCATTTCATTCTGTTCCACGGTTGCCTATAAGCTTATATCTCCTCCGCCTCCTCACATGATCTCTCCCATGTTAACCTCGGATATACTCCTAACCTAAGACCTGGCGCATAATATCACTCAACGATCTTCTTAGCGTATATCCAGTCCATTTCCATTTTCTTCAGCGTGCTTGCTGGCCAATAAGTTCTTCTTAGATTTCGTCACAGAATCTAACAATTAAAATTAATCCAAATCCCATAATCTGAATAAGTTATTAGTCCGCTCGTCGCCAGAGTTCCTTGTTGTTAATCCTTTCTCGCCATCTGATCTTCAGTATTGTCGAGTGGAAGCAGCTGTTGATGAAAATCTGTAGCCTGTTGGAAATGTTTCTCGTAACGTGCCAAGTCTCCGAACCGTATAGAAGCACTGACTTAAACGTAGTGATTAAAATTCGAATCCTGTTTCTTATACTGATTGCAGCAGGTTTTCACACTGATTTCAAAAGAATGATGGCAAGGGGCTATCTGAGATAGCTCCATTGGTTGGTAGACTGCTAATAATGTGGTGGTTGATGACTGAAAGTGGAGGGGGAGGGGTAATATGAATCTAGTTGGCGGCAGGAGTCTAATCAGCGGTTTCTGAATTACTAGTCTGTTGGTCCGCTAAATGAGCTACAAGAATCAGCCACTAGCCCAGGCCCTCCTTTTGTGATGCAGATCTTCGTCCCATCTTTAGGCGTTACCCGTTAATCATAGTCTGTCAACTCAGATAGTCTCATCATCATTTAGCAACTTGCTCCCCTCCTCGTAATTCGAAATGATTAGGATTGACTTGAGAAGAACTAGTTATGTTGATGTAATATAGGTAGGTACATACCACTGATTCACTTGAAACTCACGAATTACTCCATCCCAATTAAATGATGACCCATTTTGCAGTTGGGTCTTGCAGCTGAGCTGATAGGCTGCCAGTCTAGTAATCCGAGAGCTTCTGCTTCGAAACCTGCGGTCAGTTAGATTCTCACCTAACTAACCATCTTCATCTACGATATAATTATTGATTATTACGGAAAACTGATACTTTTGAGGAGTAACTGGGGCATTTTTAATATGACAGGTGTCGTAGCTCACTAGTCTAGACTCTGAACTCCCATCCATTGTTTCACGGATTTAGGAACCGCTTCATCTACTGAGGTTTGGTCAGCCAGCTAGCATCGAGATGTGTGTAGCTCAATGCATGCTGTACATGGGTTAGAAAGTGCTTGGTGGGTGGCATTTCACATTTCTGTAATATGACATCAGTAACATTTAATCGCAACCTCTCTGTGTTATGCACAATTTCACGGGACACCACAGTTGCAGATCACCACAAAGTGTACATGTTACTGACCGTCGGTTTTCTTAAAAGGGTAGTTGTCATCTGTAACTGTTATAAACTAATTTGATGGTATACGAAACTGAAAATTCACATTGTATAAATATTGACCATATCTGTCGGTAAGTCAGACAAACAACCAACTAAATTTCGCCATGTTCGATAGACGCCTACTACTTGGTTTTTGTTGCTGATCCTCTGTGTATATTATTAATGTAAATATACAATTATCTCTCACTCACCTTGTTCACAACACACGTCCTGTCATCATTGTATTAATCTTCTCAAGTACTAGAGGGATCCAGGGAAATTTACTAAGAAATTATAGAACGTTCATTATTGCTAACCGTTATTCGTGTGATTGGTTATTCAGTGACCACATTAGTATCAAAAGCCCACAATGAAATGTATTCATTACGAACTTTTATCTTCGAAGAAATTAAAACTATCTCATTCTTCAGAATATTTTTTAGGTTAGGGAGAAACAACTATTCATCGCCTTCATCCAGTTAATGCTGACTTCTCCTGGGTATTTTCGACACAACAAAGCTAAAATCAAATCCTCAATTTTTAGTTTATACACTTTAAGATAAAATCCAGTGCGTAATCTGCAAATAAGGGATTTCATTTCATTTATTACCATTACCGTCAGGTGGTCAGCTACAATTCAGATGATGGTGTGAATTGATTCATCTCTTTACCCTCTGTCAAATTGGGTGCACTACTGATGAGGAGCTTCGTCCATACAGACGTCTTGTGTTTACAATCATTTTGGTCTGGTCAGCAAGCGCTGCTGTTTGGTGTGTGTAGATCGCAGTGACTCGGGTCAGTCGGTAGTCTCCCCCGCCCTGCTAATTTCACTGCTTTCTTGACTATTATTTCTGGTATTAAGCAGATCAGATATTGTGTGTGTATGTGATATGACTTAACTGAGTTTCAACGCAGAGCTTTGTACACATGTGAATTAGTTCAAGTTGTCACACACCTTGTTACACACAAAGGCAAGGAAAAAGAAAACACCAAAAGAAACGTAATGAACAGGAATGTACTAGAGTGAGAATAATTACACAAAGAAACATGAAGACTTAATGAATCTAAGAGATTACAAAGAGTGAGTGCATCTACACCATTGAGAATGATTTTGAACCATATCACCAAAAGTCTCTAGCTATTGATTCTTATCAACCTGAAGATCTCAACCAAGGTAGTCTGAACCACCTGATTTATTTATTTCAAACCACCAGTTAAAGACTTCATGGCTTGATGACAGGTTTTGGTTTGGCTCGGAATGCATAACGCGTGTCCCAGTTAACTCAGCCGATATAGCTTCACAATTTCATCGATTGGCTTACCGTCTTCAATTAATTAACACTTTACATTTAACCTCAGTACTACTCATCATACGTCACTAATCAACAGGGGTGATCTGACACTTGAATTTTGATTCGAATGTCGCTTCTAGTTCACAAACCTGAATACCAGTGTCAAGGTACGTAACTAGTAAGTAAATATGTATATAGCTATTTGGTCAGTGTCACATAATGATAGACAAAGTATATTGGTCAAGATGGATTATATAATTGCACTTTATGATCTAATCGCGAGTGTTTCATTGTCTACCTAGGTGATATTTTCAGTGCTAACAAGTCACATCTTTTTTTTCTGTCTCTTACAGGTGTGGTATAATTTAAATGTCAATTTAAAGGTGTGTCAGGCAAAACGCCATTTCTCCAATCTATTTAATATCCCACAAACTGAATGTAGACGTTTTAAGTTATTCTATTTTGATCAAGTGATGTCACAGATTCAAGGTCCAGAAGAATTAAAATATCCAAATCGTAATCTCTACTCATATCAATTAGAACCAGGTGATTTATTCGAACTAGTACGATCTCCTGATTATTCAAAACGTTAGAATAGTCTGAATATATGTAAATGCCTGTGTGAATGAATGAATGAATGAGTGTTTTTGTCTGTGGTGATAGCTAAATCTTCAATATACGTGTATAATAATATTATATGATTTTAAATTGTCGATTTGAAATACACTTTAATAACAGTTACCTTTTTATCACTGACTTATTGACTTACTTGCTTAATTTCCATTATTTTTTTAACTTTGTGTATTTTCTTTCGTTTAGTTTTGATTTTATTGACTTGATCCATTAAACACAGCAAACGTAATATACAAAATTTAGTTATTTATCGTTTCCATTGTAATTTCATTCATATTCATTTTATTTGGGATGTATTGTATATCTAATCACACTTATTATCACATTATTTTCTCATTAGTATTTGTAATTGGGTTTTTTTTAATTTATTTTATTTGAATACTTTAGTAATTTTTACTCACTTTTTGCATGTGTGTATGTGTGATAACGATATATCACTTCGCGCCAGTGATGGTCTTCTCTGCACAATAACTAAATAAGGTTGAAGAGGTCAAAAGGTTTACACATGTACATATTGCTCGTTTTGTTTTTTTGCGTTGTATTTCTCTTTTGTCCCTAGCCATTTAAAAAAGCAACAATACTCGTCATGCTTTTATGGGAAACAAAGTAAGTGTTTTTTTTGTCTTTCTCCTTGTTATGCTTATGTTTGTGTGTTTGTTTATCCCTCCCCCCACTGCCGGCTCTCCCCTTCACTTCTGTTTTTTTCCTTTTTTGTTATCCTCCTTCTTTTCCCTTTGTTTCTCTCATCTCTTCCCTTTTTTTTTCTTGTCCTTTCGTGTGCTTCTTTTTCGTTTTCCTCGTTCTCTTCTGCTATCTGGTATTAACAGTGGCTTATATTTGTGTAGCCGTGTGTTCGGAGGTCTGTTTGTATGTAAAGATATCAGTTAGTCAATTATTACCCACTGATAAGCGTGTGACTCGGTTATATCATTGTGCTTCTTCATTGACCTTCGTCTCCATCGCGTTAGTTTTTTTCTTACCTCATTCTGTTCTGCTTTCAAAGAATATTATTTATCAAACTAAACATCTACTTATATATATATATATATATATATATATATATATATATATAGTTAGTGAGCCGGGACACATTTTTTAATGGGATTAACATTAATATTAACAATAATTTTAATATTTGATTCAGTAACTATGTGTAAGTGAGCCTGTGTATGTCTAGGTGTGCGCACAGCTGTAGCATATATATATTTGGTGCATATATATAAACTTATTTTTGATTCCACCTTTTTTGAGTCTTCTAATCGTCGGTAATATGTGGGTGTTAGTGATTTTTATTGTATTAGAAACAAAGGAAGACGTAACAGCAAAGAAAATCTTCCAAGTGTTGGTTGGTAGAAATTAGATTAATTACAGGTTTGATCACCAGCTCGTATTAGTTAGGGAACCACTGGAAAATCAGTGACAGTTATTTCGTCCTAGTTCCGGACTCCTCATTATTGCACATTCACCGAATGACCATTTAAATTGGATATCAGTAGCTGAGTAGTTTATGAGGTGGCCTCGTAATCGAAAAGTACTAGGTTAGAATCCTGGTTGGAACATACCCCCAAATTAGAACGAAACAACTGTCCAGTACTCCTTAGTTTTCCAATGGTTCCGTAACTTATATCATCCCGTGGTCAAACTTGAAAACAAATTATTTTTTCGACGAATCATTTTCAAGAGTAAACCGTACAATCGTACTTATGTTTAATAAAGAATTTAAAACAGACAGCCACATACGGGTAACTATGTTCTAGAAAATGTGTCGCGCAACGTGAGGTGCAGTCTAGAAGAGGATAACTAGGGGAAGATTAGAAAACAGAGGTCGAAATTACTTGACAAATATGAAAAATCACCTAATCAATGTAAATGCACAAAAACTAATGATATGTATAAACAATTTGTTTACTTCCAGAGCCTTGTCCCACTGATCAGAAAACATGACCTAGTTAATTCTTTATGCTCAGGGATTCGAAAAACCAGCTCGGTAGATATAACAGAAACTGAATGAAAATCTCTACGTGATACTTTATTAGAAAATAGACATCCACCTGAATTTAGTGACAGATTCATGGGAGATTAAACGTTGTCAGTGGAAGTAACAAATGTTCCGAAGAAATTTTCTTCATGAATCTAGAGTTCAAGACTGACATAGAATCTGAAATGCTTTTGATCTCCTCTGTGTCACTCTTGGGACGTGAGACCAGCTCATCGCTTTCCATCCATTCATGTTATGTCACTCAACGGTCTTCATAGTGTGTTTCCAGTTCATCTCCACTTCTCTCTGGAAATTTGTTTAGCAGTAGATTGTCTGGTTCTTTGTCAGCTAGCGTTCCTTGTTGCCTACTTATCCATTACAGATGACCATCTGATCTTTAGTATCGTTCAGCCAAGGCAGCTTTTGATGAGAGTTTATAGCAGCCTGTTGGAATAGCTTCCGATGACTCACCAAGTCTCTGAACCACATGGAGGCACTGACTGATTTGACAATCGTGTTGATGTTGTGATGCCACTGAAAGTGAATATGAGTGCTAACTGACGGTTATGAACGCTTGATAATTTCCTATTGCATTAGTCCCTGACCCAGACTACTAAATTCCAGAAGACTCACATGGTAGGCCTAAAAACGTGTATTTCCAAAACAGCTAAGAAAGTAATCGACAATAAAAAATGTGTAACATGATGGTCCAGTAAAAAGGCTTGAATAGTAGGCATTATCATCATGCTGGATTCTGGTTGGTTGACGTGTACCGTGTAATGAAGTGTGCTATGTTGTTATGTGACTGACAGACTAATGAGACAGACTGTGAACATATTTCAGTTGAAGATCCGGCTGTTGTTCCTGAGACTTCCATACTGATTCCATAATAATGGGTGCCTTTCTTACTCTCCCGGTCCTGCGTGGCTCTGGAACCCTCACCCCTGCCGCTAGCAGTCCAAACGATAATGTCCAGGAAAGTGAAATAGACAACGTCCTTCATATTTCCTTTGTTGAAGGTGATTGGTGTTTATTTCTGCGTTTCCTTATCACTTCTGCCTTCTCCATTTATTATTATTGTTACCTTGTGTTCCGAATGGAACACACGGCTTCAACAACACATCTCCATTTCGTTCTGTTATCTGCGGTTTTCTTAAGCTGGCCCCACGATTGCCAAAAGTCTCTCATCTTCTCCCTGCACTATCTCCTGCACGTCGCTTCACTCGTGTTCCACTAGAGCGATGGCCTTCATTGCGCGCAATATCATTCGACGGTTTCCTCACCATTTGTCCGATCCATCTGTATTTTCTTCGACATACTTTTTCATCAATATGTTCTTAATTGGTTCGTTCCCATACTTTCTCGTTGCTAAGTCTTTCTGGTCAGACATTTGATCTTCAAAATCGAGTCAGTTAAGGGAGATGTGGATAAAAGTCTGCAGTAGCCTGTTGGAAAAGCTTTTCGTGATGCGAGCACCAAGTTTCTGACCTATATAGAAACGGAAATGTTAATTATGTTCCTTATGCTGAATGAAGATTTAAGAGTGATGAAGGTTTGTCTTGCCTTTCTGATTCTGGCTTTGATATCTTCATCCGTTCCGCCTGTAGTTGAAACAATCTTTCCTAAATAAGTGAAGGAAGTTACCTCTTACAAATTTCTCCCGTTGATAGTGGTTAGTGCTGTTTGATGTGACTTCTGTTGGTTGATTATCTCCATCGTCTCTGTCTTATCTATGTTTACCTGGAGTCCTCTCTTCGGTGCCTGCCTATTCTGCCAGTTTGTTGGTTTTTGTCTGTAGATCTTCAAGTTTGTATAACATTAAACATAAATCATCTGCGAAATCAGATCTTCTAGTGTCTTCTTATCAGTTCAACGTATTCCTGTTTTCTTACTCCCCATGGTTGTGACTCATGGTCCAGTCCACCACAGTTAGGAATATCATCAGTGATAGTAGATAGACAGCCTTGTCTTACCCCTGTAGTCACTTCGAATGCCTCGGTGAGTTTTCCGTTGTGAATCACCTGACACGTGGTAATGTCGTATAGCTGTTGAATTAGGCTGATATATATTTAGAGCACTCCATGGAGTTGAAGTGGTTTCAAGATTAATTCGTGGTCAACTCTGTCGAAGGCCTTTCCAAAGTTGATGAAACTGACTTAGAGATTTGACTGCTAATCGGTGCTCTATCCGATGATAATGCGTAGAGTTGTAACTTAATCAGCACATGATTTGCCTTTCCTGAATCCAACTTGTTCTGGACTGGCGGAGTTCTGCATCCAGTGAATCTTGTATGTTCACCAGAATGACGCGTCTAAGTATTCTGCTCGACGCGGACAGGAGGAAGATTCCGCGCCAGTTCTTGCAGAGGCTTAAGTTGCCCTTCTTTGGTAGTTTTACAAGGTAGCCAGCCTTTCTTCCAATCGGTAGGCACTCCTCCTTCCTTCCAAACCTTTTTAAATTAGTGGCGTCGGCTTATCCTCTGCTGTCTCTGCGTCCGTTTTCAGTGTTTCCGGCGGAATTCCGTCCGGTCCTACTGCCTTCCCGGCCTTCACTAGCTTGATTTTATTCAAGACGTTTGCTTTCGTTGGAGGATCAGCATCCACTGACAGTTCTGTGCATGCTGTTGGTGGTATTTATGGACCAGCCTTACTTCTATTCCTGGTTTTAGTACCGTTTAGAAAACTAGCAAACTAGTAAACTAGGAGACGCTCTCTATAGTCTCCTTAAATCCTGTCTTGGTGTCTCTTCTACCAACTTGTCTGTTTGTTTCGACAACTTTTCATCCAGTGTTACATATATACACTTTACCATAACTTCTCATACGTTTGCTTTACCGGCCGAATGGAAATCATTTTGAGATTTTAACCATTGGCACCCGATTCAGTTAATTATGCTTGAATTAAATACAAATAAATCGCTTACAAAGGTGAATAAATTAAGTAGAAATGAAGGAGAATATCAACCAGACATAAAAACCAGCTG